GCTCAGGCAAAGGAGACTTTGACAAAATTTGCCCATTTTTAACTGGTTAAATCATTGAAATAAGAGCTGAAAACCAAAGAAGCAATAGAAAAAAATTGTCACATAACCAATGCAAGCTTCACAATTGTGTAAGACATCTGGAACAGGGGAACAGCAGATGACAAAAACCCTGGTGACAGCTGCCAACTGGCCTCAGATGAGGAATCGCAGAGACTGGCCCTGAGCCATGTCCTCAGTGCATGCTGTATACCTGACATGCAACATAACAGCAAAACCAGAAGTTCCTCAGTTAGGGACTCATGTCAACAGGTGTCCAACACTGTATTAAGACAAAGCCTGCATTGCAGCTGTGGTGTATGGTGGTCACTTGTCATTCAGGCTTGAGTGTCCTAGGCCTGTCCGGTGGGACTGGGCTGTGCTGGTCTGTGGGGCAGTGGCTGGTTCATGTGAGTGTGAAGTGTGTGAGTGTGTCTTACAACAAAAATCTTAGAAGAGGAATGGAAATCCACTCACTGTGCCTATTGTGCTTAGGAAATTCATGTTGATTGTGTGTCACGAAGAAATGTTGTTTTGCTTATGCAGATATACCACCAACACAGTCTGTGACAGATTTCATAAAAGTATTACATACATGCTCCAGAAGAAAATATGTGATGTTATTTCTCTATGTGGTAGAAGAAAATCTGTGTTTAAAAAGAAACAGATTATTTTTTAAAAGGAAGCGTTTTTCATTGATTGGAAGCAGATTTATTGCGGTACATACAAAAAATGCCTGAGAGCATTATAGACAAAAATTTTGGGGAGGTTTCTCCTTTTTTTTTCACAGAAGAACATAAATATAGTAAAATTACAGATGCATATAAAGCCACCTGAAAGTAGCTTCTAAGTTTAACTGTGATGTGAATAATTCTATAGTGCAGGTCTTTAGAACAATTGCAAGACTAGTCATTGTGGTCAAACCCAACTCCCTAAGTAAAAGCAGAAGACAGTAATCTCTAAGAATTTATTCTTTTCCTAAGAAGAAACTGAATACGTATTCTGTAACATATGGGGAAAATCATCACAATCTCATTTGTATACCTACCCTATGAAAAACAAGGACCATCTTCAGGCTTGCTGTAATGGCTAACTTACAGTGCTCATTTCAGTGCTTTACACTACTGCCCGCCAAATGGTGTGAGAGAGGAAAGATGATGAAATCCAATTATGACTAAAAGCAGGAAGTTATACATAAAAATTCACTAGAATTGCACAACTGACACGAGAGAGTATAGCAGATGGTGAACAAAAACCCTCTTCACACAATATTTTGGGTTTGAATGTAATTGATGGAAATCTAGCCAGTACAACTGTTTATCAAAAATGTGCAGTGACTGTAAAAGAAGATAAGTGTGATAATTATGAATGTGCCTGTTTATGATACTTCAAGGGAGAACCAGATCATTAAGACTTTGCCAAGAACCACTGCTGCACAACCCTGTTCAGCATCAGGTCTTCTTTCATATAAGGAAAGGCAAGCATCTGGGAAATATAACTTAAACTGTATTTTCTATATGGAGAGAACAGAAGAAAACACTTACTTCACACTGTGGTGTTTGGCTTATAAGCAATTCTTGGTGTGCCAGTAGTAACAAGCATAAATGTAGAGTCAATATTGTAAAGCAGGAAGAAGTGAATGCTGACATGTTTACAGCATACCAGACTGTATTTGAAGGGTTTGGGTATGTTCCAGGAAAACAAACCATAAAAATGAACTTAAATGTTACACTAGTAGGAAAGTACTGGAGAAAGTAATGGTGACATTACAAAGCAAACTGGAAACACAACTAAGCTCTATTGGAGAGCTTACTGCAAGTTAGAGAGTTGCAGAGACTGAAAAGCTGCTGATAGTTCTGAAAGGGCTCAGATAAATATATTTTGGTCCTTGTAAATCTAATTGCACCTACAATACAATAACAGTCTTTGCACATTACTGGTGGGGGAAAAAAAAAACCAGCAGAGAATAGAAAATCATTTACACATTTATGCAGTATTAATGGTTTCAGTAATTCTCTTGGCGAAAAAATCAGAAGCAGAAAGGAATCTGCAACTGTACACTTTTGACAATGTTTTTAGAAAAATGTTGACTTTCTAATCAAGAGTCAGTGATAAGTGACATAATTCCAGCCTTTTACAGAGACTAATACAATCATGCATCAAAATGTCAATACAAGAGAAAGTACAGGAGGTGCTAATGCTTCTTTTTAAACAGTGGAACATAAAGGAGATTTTGGCTTGTTTCTGCTAACAAATTGGATTCAAATTTCCTATTGAACCAAACTTTCTAATAGCATAAACCATGTCTTCACTAGTATTTTAAAAGTAGGCTGCTTATTTCTCAGTACTTGTAATGCATATTCAACACAAGTAGCCTAACAATTTAACTCTGTAAAAGAAAGGAAAATAAAGTGTTGTGTTTGGCTCTGGTCAACTTCATCAGAATATCTATAAGAAAAAGATGAATGAACATGTGAATTGGAAGTCACTTGGAGTCACTTTTAGAAACACTTGGATAAGCGATGCTTTACCACCAGTATAGAGAAAGCAAGTTACCACTTCAGAAATGCCAAATGAAAACTGGATAAAAGCCATGCAAGTGTTCAAAGGCAGCAGATGTCTTTTTCAGAGCATATTTGCATTATGGAAAAGACTTGAGCGTGGAAGTCAGATCATAGAGAATGTTTGCATGAACAGTTGGGACACATTGTGGTATATTCTGTGTCACCCTGACTGATCTGTGATCTTTGTTTCCCCTTGATGTGCACCTTTATGACAGAGAACAAATATTGGCCAAGTGACACTTCAGCCACAATAAATGCTAAAACATTACAGAGGCACATCAGAATTTAAAATTAACATATTGACAATATTATAAAACATTTGTTTTAATAGAGCTCCATATGAGAAAGATGTAAATGAGCTACCTCAGTGGGTTATCTTCCAGTATACTTTCATAGAGACTTTGTCCAGTGAGGACATACCTATATTTTTCAAATGTGGCATTTTACAGTGAATGAAAAGCATAGAGGCAGCAGGTCAGGACCTGTTACTCAGCTCAAGAGAGAAATTAGTAGACAGATGCACACCAGTACACTATTCACTGTTCTCTCCCCATACTTCTTTCTCCTTAACACTAAGAATATCCTAGGTTTCACCTTGAAGCTCTGTTATCATATCTCTTCTGTATTCTGTCATCATGTCATCATGCCTAGCTCACATCAAATATGGTTGGCCCATATCAAAGTTTGTAGCATAAATAACCACTCTAGTTGCTTCTTTCTTTTGCTTAGTAAGTCCATTAATAGTTTGGTATGTAATATTAAACAAAGCCAACACCAAAATCCTACTCTCCATTTCAGAGGTGGCCTCAGATCATGGGTTTGCCCAGTGTATACAGAATTTTCAATAAGTCTTCATTACTTTCCTTTCCTATCAGCTTCAGTCTACTGTCATGTCATGAAAATAAAGCCTGCCTGTCAGGTTCATGATGTCATCTTCCAAGGCTGTTCAGCTTTATAACAACACTTCACACTCTATCTCTCTGAGTTTAAATTACCACAAGGCAACAGTTTGGAAGTGTCTTTACGGACCTGATATGCAAGAATGAAGAAGTTTCAGCAAGGATGAAAGGACAAAGTGCCTAAAATGATGGTTTTAATGATCTTGCTAATGCGTTTAGTAAGACTAGTAAATCATTAATGTATTTAATAACTTACTAATGTATTAGTAAGTATGTAGAACAGAAATGAGACTTGATTTACTTATCATTATAATTTACTCCATTGGTGTGGTTCTAATGCAAAGGGAATGTCCAGTTTCCTAAAGGAAGATATTTCTGCTCTTTCTCACTTCCTAGTATACTGAATTACAGATCAGATTGTACTCAAGCACTTGACAATCCCAGGAGAAAAACTGTAGGATAGCAAGGGTAAAGTTTCAAAATTGTTTGTATGACATGGGAAACTAATGACCTCCTAAATAATACAGGTTCTATTAAAAAGCTTCACTGTATCCTCCTATTATTTTTGTATGCCAAAATAGCCAGTATTGCTTTCTGCAAACTTGTGCTTGACCTCTTTTACTTTACTGTACTTGGGAGTCAAATGCATTGGCCAGAATTTCTGGAAGGATATATGTAACACTCTACAACTGATTTCTGGTGTTTCTACTCTGATTTTCATATGATAAATTAATTAAAATGCTGCTTACCTTCCCTTTGTCTAGCAATAAAGCTAGTAAGAAATAAAACACACTGTAAGAATTTATTGTAAAGTAATTAGTTAAAAATTGCCTGTTGTCTTTTTAAATATTTTTTATTAGACTCAGAGGGTTAATGGTGTCATACTGAACAGAGAGTGATTGTGTCAATATAATCAAGGGCAAATTAAGTGCCACTGACTCCAACATGGTTTTGACACAATGCAACGTGACTAATAAAAGAAAAAAACTAATTTTAAAAATAATTTACCTCCTGTAGACCTTAAAATGGATTTTACTAATGAAAACTAGCATGTTTTTTTCCTGGTAGGTGAAGCAAATGAGACTGTGGAAGCAAGTATGTGTTGACAAGGGCAAACAAAATGTCCAATGAGATGGTCTATCCAATTAGAAGTAATTTTGGACATTGTTCCTCAGTGTTTAAACACAAGGGTTTTCTACTGCAGCCTAAGCAAATAAACCCATAAATTGTTTATTTATCAAGATGTTCATTAACAAGTCTACTCACTAGAACTGTTCTCAAACAATCAAAAATGTGGCTTAAATCCATGAAAAAAAATTCTCTGTATTATTTTCAGCTGGTGGTTAAGATTAAGATTTCAGTGAACTCTGTAGAAGCATCCAGCACAGTTCTTCAACCTGACTTTTGCTGGATAGTTAACAAGCCATAGGCAGAAACATCCACCTTCAGAGATGTGTCTTCAAAATAACAGCCTCATTTACTTAGTTCATATTTTTTCTAGGTTTTATTTTACAAGAGGAGTTTCAGGGAACTGAAGCAGACAGTGTATGAGAAATCCTTCAGAGGACAAAAGGACAAGATCTACAGACTCCTAAGTATTAGCAGCTTATAGAGGTGACATCTGCATAAGAAGGGAACAAAGCTGACTCACATAAGATAAAATACATGCTATATATTTGATATGACATGTGCCCACAAAAGTGTTTTGGTTTAAATCCACAAATTATAATTAGTGATATAAAATTCCAGGTAGGAACCAAAGTTTCAGGGTTTGGTTCTTTGAATTGCCTGCATACCTGAAGCTAAATACTTAAATCCCCATTAAAAGATTAGTGTTAAAACGGTTTCCACTGAGGAGGGCAAAGCCACTTTGTAATATAATTTTCACACTTGAGAATAAAGTAAAAGGAATCTTCCAGAGACTTTGTCCAACCTGTTGTATACAGACTTGATGGGTAGTCTGCAAGATGGGTAGGAAACTGCTACCTGGGTTATCAGTGATCAGTGGTTTTTACTCAGGCTGGCAGTCTGTAACAACTGGTGTTTCCTCAGAGATGGCCCCCATGTCACTTAGCTTTTTCCCTGGATCATGGGATTGGAAGCACCCTTACCAGAGTGCATGGTGAAGTGGACACATCACTAGGCAGAACCAATATTGCAGAGAAAGCCAAACAGGCTGGAAGAGTAAGCTATCAAGAATAGTTTGAAGTTTAACAAAGACAAGTGAAAAGCCTGTGCCTAGCTCAGCATAAGCTAGGACTGTGAGTTTGGAGAGCAGCCTTCTTGGGAACTCCTGGTAGACAACCTAAATTAAAACAGATCAGCAGTGTGCTACTGCAGCAACAAAGACAGAACTGATGCTAATCTGCATGCCTAGGGACATTATTAGCACAGGTAGAAATGGGATCATTGTAATCTTAGTGCTTGTCAGACCACGTCTGGAATATTGTTTCCAATTCTGGTCCTCACAATTCAAGAAAATCATGGACGGAAAAAAAGGGTGCAAAAGAAAGCCACAAAAATGATCAAATATAATAAGGATTTTTTTACAGGGAGAACAACCCTTCACTTCAACAAGATCCTCAGGGGCATGTCAGTGTCCCTGTCTCTTAAGATTTTCCAAATGCAATTTGCCATGGTGCTGGATAAATCAATAGGAGCTCTCTGTCCTACGAAAGGTTGGACTCCATGAACTTTTGAGTCTCTTCCAACCTGGGCACTTTTATGATTCTGTGATTTCATGATCTTTTCACAGTCAGATTTGGACATTTTTGTCCATGTTATTTCTTTTCAGGGAGTCAAGTAAGTAAAATAAAATATTCAAATGTAGGGTATATGAGAAACGAGAAAGAAGACATGGTTCTGCTGCTAGAGACAAACAATGTCTACAAAATTGTGGATGACAAAGTCTTTCAAGGATTTCTTGATCACACAGTTCCACAGATCATAATTAGGATGAAGTCCTACATTATGAGATGCTTGTCTCATCTGGAAACCATTGACAAAGAACTGTCGTTCCGATTGGGAACGTCTATAAAGAACGACATAGGCTCTCAAGGGAGTCACAACAGGAGAATTCTCTAGTTTATTACTTCAGGCTTGTTTTATAGACTGGTACGTGGAAAGTACAGAAAAGAAACTCTTATTGGTTAGCAAAGTGCTACATCACCATCATTGGTCAGAGGCACACTACCCCCCTGACTTTCTCCTGCAAGGGAAAACAAGAGGACAGACAAACAGCACCTGGCAGTTGTTTTCTGTCTCTGAGGATTATTTTGAAATCCTCCTATGAAATTTTCAGGCTAGCTTCTCAGGCAGGACTGAGAGGCCATGGGCCTGCAGCCTGCTCCAAAGCTAGCATCCATAAAGAACAACTTTCAGAACACTCCCTTAGCTTTAAATTTTTAATAATTTTTTTATTTTTATTTTTTGTGGTCTTTTATGTGGCCACTTCTCAGCAGCTTCAAAAGAAACTTTAACAGGCTGTTCTAAAGGGAGGCTTTTCGTTGAAGCAGACTGGTCACACCGTTATATGACCAAGGGCAATATTTTTTATTTTGTCCTGTTGCTGCTGGAGATGAATAGATCACAGGGACACAGCTCGAGGTGTGGTAAAAGGAAGAGAAAGTTTATTTCTTCTCCCAGGATTTATAGGTTTCTGACCACGGCCAGGGATTGGGTGGTCAGGATAACACTTTCCCAACTGCACTGGTTATGAGAGATGTCTGTCACAAGACGTGTAACAGAAGGAATGCATACATATCTATGTTTATAGTTACTGTCCTGGGAAAGTCTTAGAAAATTATGTCAGCAAGCTCAGAAGCTGAGTTTTCAGGGCGACGTTGTCCCATTTTCCCATTACCTGACAATGACTCCTATTGTCACATCTCCAAATTATATTTCCTGTCTATCTACTGTGTTGGCTACATAGAGGTCAAGTAGTTAGCTTTGGAGCTGAAAGCATAGTCCACTCCTGTCTGCTATAATCTCTAATTTCTCATTTTAGAATGTTTTCAACCTAAGCTAAACTCTCCTAGCTCTGACACTGCAGCTTTAGACTCATGGAGGATGCTTGTGACTACAGAGTACCAGTTGCAAGACAATAAACAATTTTTAATGGATTGAATCTGCTGCTTAAGACAGTATCTCCTTACCTTGCAGTTACTGAAGATGAGAATTACTTGATATAAATCACTGTCTAGATTTAGATCATATAGGAAAAAGGCAATCACAGGATGTGTAATTGAAGGAATTGTAATTATATTAGATATGTAAAAGACTGATCTCATTGCTAGTATCAGCTTTTTCTTTGCATGCAAATGTTTTGCTTTTGTGAACATCCCTCCATATTAAATTGGAAAGAAGTGCTAATACTTCAGTTTTGTTTATTATGTTCCAGAGTAGTAGAATAAAATGTTGTATTTTGTTATTCACCATGAGAAATGCTGCCTTCAGAATTTTTGAGTCCTCTCTCACTAACAAAAAAAGGGCCTTGAATCATTTCTACATAGATTAGAAGGGGTGAATCCAAACTTGAATTCTGATCTTTGCAAAACAATGTACCTTGTAAGTACATTGCACATTCACTGTGGGGTAGCGTGGAAGTAAAGTTAAGGTATTAGAACTCTTGAAAGATCTCTCAGTTCAGACTACCCTCTGAAAGTTCTAAAGTGGTGTCAAATACACATTCTATAAAAATGAGGGGGTTTTAGTTTATATCTGTTTATTATTTCTCTAGCCACCAGCTCCTCTTAAAAAAAAAACAACTTAAAAAAAATGGTGATTTCAAAGTTCCTTCCTTCCTTCCTTCCTTCCTTCCTTCCTTCCTTCCTTCCTTCCTTCCTTCCTTCCTTCCTTCCTTCCTTCCTTCCTGCCTTCCTGCCTTCCTGCCTTCCTGCCTTCCTGCCTTCCTTCCGCCCTTCCTTCCTGCCTGCCTTCCTGCCTGACTTCCTGCCTGCCTTCCTGCCTGCCTTCCTGCCTGCCTGCCTTCCTGCCTGCCTTCCTGCCTTCCTGCCTTCCTGCCTTCCTTCCT